GAGACACCTCAAAGTTCAGAGGGTTTTGGAAGATAAAAGAAAAAAAAGTCCAGGAGGTGCAAAACCCCATGAGGCTTTGTGAGATTAATACAAAAAAATAGAAAAAAAAAACAATCTAGGATTACTGTCAGAACAATCCCCTTTGCTCAAACAAAAAATAATTATCATTACAATTTCTGCAACATTCAACAAAAAATAATTATCATTACAATTTCTGCAACATTCAACATTCACCGTCATGGGTTCCGCAATATGTAAAACTTCTATTCTAGGAAAGAAAAATGATGTAAAACTTGAAATTTCCTGACTCAGAATCAGATTATAAATTTTCAGCATCAAGATCCCAAAACAAGCCAAGCATAATCGTTTCATGCGCATCATCCTCATCAGCAATGCATCCAATCACTACATCAGACCATAGAACTGTTACATAATCACCGTGAAAAAGTAACACAAGCTAGATAAATTCAGCACTCGTCAGGATTCAAAGTCCACAAAACAACTAGCCTAATTACATAGTACCGTGATCTCAAAAGTTTTAGTAATACAGTAAACTGCAAATGGTACTGTAATCTCAAAAGTTTAGTAATACAGTAAACTACAACAGGCAGGCATCATTCCGCAAACAGTGGAAGAGTGCTCAACAAGAACACGTTGATGGGATGAGGGGGAGTTACCCAAAAGCACAAACAAAACAACAAACTTTGTACAGCTTCAATAACAAATATCAAACAAGCTACATTTTCACTTTAGAATGACCTGCGACGTTTCGGATTACCCTGGTATCCATAACGGTTATGAGAAGAACATATATCTGGCACAAAAACAGCGTGTTCTGATGGAGGATAGAGTAGGTTTCTCTGCAAATGGAACCCTGAAGCTGTGGGTGGAGATGGAATCTCTGGTACCGTGTTGTATGAAATTTCTGGTACTTGACCCAAGCATTCGTCAAAATTAATCCGTTCATCGGCAGGGAAATATGGTGGTGAGTCATCAGAACTCCCAAGCTTACCACTATCAGCCTGTCAAAGAAAAGAATAATTAGAAATGAAGACAGTAACTGATTGCGTCATAGTTAGAGGTGGCAATCTCGACTGAACCTCGTGGATTGACCCTATCATGATCAGGGATAACAGGTACAGGTCGAATTTCAATAGGCATGGATCATAACCGGAACAACCTTTTAACCCGAATATTTGACGAGCCAGTTATTGTTTGGGACTCGAAGTAACGAACCAGGTTTGTTTCGATAAAATTAACTGTGGTAAAAATAAAATAACTTGTACATAGTCATAAAAACAATTTTCTTTAAGTCGGTAGAGTGTAAAACTCATGCTAATGTTTAAAGATGGTTATGATTTACTTCCTCTCCTAGGATATTGTTTCTTTCAAACTGATCGCCTATATTTGACCTAAAGCACAATAACCGAGTTAGACGAGTCTTATTATACAAGTAAACTATCGGACCTAAGGTGGGGGCAGTGGGGGCAATTGCCCCTACTGACCCCTAACAAATATATGTGGTGGATGTTAAGCAATTTTGCAATTGACCCCTCCCCANAACAATCTAAAAGAGTAAACACAATCTTAGTCCCCAAAATCTTTCATAATTTGAAATTAATCCACAAATCTTCATATCTTGAAATTAGTCTGCCCAAATCTTTAAGGGTTATGGAATTTGTCCCTCAAATGTTCATCTTTTGAAATTTATCCCCCAATTTTTTTTAAGTGTTATGAAATTAGTCCCTCCATTTAGCCCCGGGTCAAAGATTTGGAGGACTATTTTCAAAACACTTTAAGAATTCGGGGGACTAATTTCAAAATATGAAAATTTTGGTGGCTAACTTAAAAATACTTAAAGATTTGAGGACTAATTTCAAAATATGAAGATTTGAGGGATTACGCCCAAATTATGAAAGATTTGGGGTACTAATATCTGGAAAACCAATCTAAAATTTAGTTGATTTCCTGCGAGAAAGGCAGAACTTATGAGTTGTCCCCTGTTTGACAATCCTCTCACCAAATTACCGCCTCCAGTGGAACCACCACCTTGCGCCGGATGGCTGCCCTGTGACGAGTTCAACTTCAACCAATAAGCGTATTGAAGAATTGAATGTGCAACTGCCTGGGAGATGACTAGTTGAATAATTTGGTCACTTATATTGAAAGAGACATCCTTGATTGCACAGATAGCAAGAAAACCACACAGCTTTATCATAATATGGAAAAACAGAGAGAAATTGTAAAGAATTTAGTAACTATTGATTGTATTTTGTATGTACATATGTGTGCTTATTTTATATGTTATTAATATTTAGACAAAAATATCATATGCTAATTATATTTGTAGATTTATAGTCTTGCCCCTAATGCCCAAAGCTTCTAGATCCGCCCCGATGATTAAGCAGGTCGTGACTCGTGTACGGATCAAAGTATTTGACCATTAAGTTAATGAGTCGGGTATGGATAATACATACACAGGCGAATCTACACCTGCTCTACCCGACCTGATTGGCACAACTAGTCATAAATGCATATCTTCGACAATTTTCTTACCTTAGATGAGCTGTTCTCTGGGTAACCATAGTTCTGGTTGAAATTGATAAATCCAAAGAAGTCATCTACAGACCAGTCTGGTAAACCACCAACCATGTTAACTCCAGAATATGATGTCTTCGCTGTAGGGACATACCCACCCTTGCTTGCTTGATTGGAAAAGACTTGATTAGCTTCACCGGCAAATAGCATTGAGGAATTTCCTTCGGGCAGTAACTTAGTAGGCCGTTCAGAAACTCTTCCTGAAGAGCTTGCTTGCTCCTTAGGAAAGGATGGAAGTGGGTCAGCAGGTTCAAGGCCCACTTGAACCCCTGTGACCAGAAATCTTCGGTGTGCAGAAACATAAGAATTTGCAGTGTGTATGGAAACATCACAGTTTCTACAGAACAATGCTCGGTCTTCTAAGCAGAAGAAATAGCCAGAAGCTTCCTGAAAGCACAAATAAAATAAGCATATGAAAGGCAGGAAAGTATGACAGATTTGCAACCTGATACACCACTTTAAGCCATAAGAACTGTGTATTGAATATAAACAAAAGAAATATATACCAATATAATCTCCTACTAACTGTTCATGTGTATCCTTTATGCAGTGCTTTAAGAAATTCTCTAAATTCTATGATGCTTCTGCGTTGGAGACAAATTCTAGTAAAAGTCAAGTTTTTCTTGGAGGTGTATCTCTACATGTTATACTATTTCGGACAAAATCCAATTGCAGAGGGTGATTCACCTATCAGATATCTAGGGGTCCCTCTTACTGCAACAACTCCTTACAGTGTTTGTCTTCGATTAATTGAAAAGAGAACTTGTAGAATTCAAAGTTGGTGTAACAAACATCTTTCTTATGCTGGAATGGCTCAACTTTTCTTAATCTTCATGTGTTTCGTTCTTCAATTTTCAGTCTACCAAAGAAAATTATCAAAGAAGTTGAAGCAATTTGGAGGAGGTTCTTATAGGGTGGGAGTTTTAGCAGTAATAGTACATCTCTGCTAGCTTGGACTTGGAGGACATATTGGAGACCTGAGAATCAGGGGCGTCTAGGACTCCATGATATAATGTCGGAAAATAATGCAATGATGTTAAAACATCTATGGGCTTTAATCTTGCAAACTGATTTTTTGTGGGTAAAGTGGATACATGAAGTGTCCTTAAATGAAGTAGATATATGGAGTGCTCCTTTCAGGCGTCCTCAATCCTAGGGTTTGAAAAGGATACTCAATTTAATGCAATTTGAGAATAGAAGTTTGATATATACCTACGACCATGTTGAATTTATCTTGGCTTTGACAAATTATTATTAAATCACATCTTTTATAATTTATTCTTAGCATAATTAATGGATTATTGCTGATGAAATTCTTTATAATTTATGCTTTTAAGAATCTGATATATTCATCTTAGAAGTAATTAAAACAAGAGACTATAAGACTTTTCTTATGATCCAATAAATCTAGTGAATGTAAACGTAGGTGCCTTTTGATATTATTGATAATCCTTTAATTAATTTTATAAGCACTGGCAACTTGTTCTATTAATTTCTATTAATTTGAAAGTAGATTAATTAATATTTTTCTCTAAAGTTTAGTTCTAGCCTGCCTAGGTTACATCAAAATTCTTGATTTTTAGTACCATTTCTCTATGGGATATGACCCATATTTGCCGCTACTATAATAGTACGTCATGCACTTGCGTTTATTAGAATAGTTCAATAAGTTGCACTTGGAGATGTCTGTTTTTCTGCAATTGCAGAAACCTTTATCCCAAATTTAAGAGTCAGCTACATGAATCCTACTTTTCCTCTTAGGTTCATTGAGAATTATCTCCTCGAAGTTAATCATTAGCATATCCTTCTTAACAACTTACAACCAAATTCTCATAGGCCTGCCTCTAATCCTTTCTCCATTAATTATGATCTTATCCCTTCTAATTGGCGAGTTTAATAACTTTCGCTACACATGACCAAACTCTCTTCTTTTATCCTTAACGAGAAGGAATATGAATCCATTCATTTTTCTCATCCCAATTCTTTTTTGTAAATGCGAATGCAATGTTTTAAAAAGCACCCGCTTAGGCCTTGGGAGCACCTAGGAGAGCAGAGATCGCTTATGCAGATTGCATTACTTAGGTATTGGTCATGATTCCCTTGTTGTTGCCTCCACATCCTCTAAGCTCCTTCGAACTCCTCTAGCTGCCTCCGCCAACTACAAACACTTCCTCCAACTCCTCCGACATTCAGCAAAACCTCCTCTACCACAACTTAAACAAAAAAAAAAATCCTCTTACGCCTAGCACCTAGGCGCTACGGGCCAGTTTCGCAGCAATGCCTAACCCTTTTAATAACAGTGATTGAGAATTAATAAAAGTTTAAAAATTAGCTACTTTCTACAATAAAAAAACACTTGTGGTCGATTTTTCCACGAATTATGCATATAGTTGCAAAATACACTACGGCATCAAACAAGCATCAATAACTGCCCTTACTATTGCTCTTTGCAAGTTCTAACTGAAATCACCAAAATAATCATCCAAAAAATAATGATGATAGTAAAACTTTATAATCCAACAACCCCAAAAGCAAAAATAAAAATAAAAATTCACCTGACAGATATCGCACTTGGGGAGTCCAGATGGCGAGGAGGCGGCGACGAGGGGGACCCGCTGGTGTTTCCCGGCGAGCTTGTTGGCTCTGTGGACCTTCTCGTCGCAGGCCGAGCACAGCGCCGCCTCGTCGGCGCAGCACATCACCGTCGCCTCCGCGGCCTCGCAAGCATTGCACTGTATCTTCATCCCAGTTCTCAAACAACCCTAAATCCAACCCAGATCCAAAATCTACTCTCTCTCTCTCTCTCTCTCTCTCTCTATTTTGGTTTTCTCTATTTTGGTTTTTGCCCTAAATTTTGGTAATTGATTGTGGGGTTTTAGCCGGTGGAAGCTGGCAGATGCTTTTAATTAGGAGGATACCGCTGCGGATTTTATTATGGAATTGGACAGAGCATCACCTACTACTGTGAGTTCACAGTTCCAATAGCTTACCACAGGATTCTTTCTGAGGGGGTGTTTGGCAATCTGAAAGTGAATTTAAAATATGTAAGTTATTTTTTTTTGCAAATGACTTTTAGAGGGTGTTTGTTTGCATACAAGTGAAAGATGAAAGTGAGAAAGTTACTTTCATTTAACAATTAAGGTGTTTGTTTTCATGTAAGTGGTTATGAAAGTGAGATGTAAGAAAGTTGCCACATAAGATTTAATGCAATTTTGACTTCCCCTAAAAAAGTGGTGAAGTCACATGAAAGTGACAAAAAGGTAAGTAATTTAATTAAATGATTTTAATTATATTTTCTAATTAATCTTATTTTGCCACGTCATCTTCACATTGCACTTTCGATAATAATTTAATTTTTCAAACAAACACTGTATTTCACTTGCGTGCTGACATGGATGTAAAGTCATTTGTAAAAAAAAGTAACTTACATATTTTAAATTCACTTTCAGATTGCCAAACACCCCCTTACATCCATGTCAGCACGCAAGTAAAATACAATGTTTGTTTGAAAAATTAAATTATTATCGAAAGTGCAATATGAAGATGATGTGGCAAAATAAGATTAATTAGAAAATATAATTAAAATTATTTAATTAAATTAGTTATCTTTTTGTCACTTTCATGTGACTTCACCACTTTTTTAGGGGAAGTCAAATTTGCATTAAATCTTATGTGGCAACTTTCTTACATCTCACTTTCATAACCACTTACATGAAAACAAACACCTTAATTGTTAAATGAAAGTAACTTCCTCACTTTCATCTTTCACTTGCATGCAAACAAACACCTGAATTCCTTTTTTTTTTAATTGCTTTATAGGGTTTTATGGTTGAAGGTGATTAAGTTGTCAATATGATTTTTCGGCTCTTCGGTCATTGGCCCTGATTCTGGGAAGGATTATTTAAATATTAGTCCTTCCATTCTTCAATACTTTATATTACTCCCTCGTATCTTTATAATTGCTTATCAGTAACTCAAATCTTAAGGGGTCTCGTATTTTAGTCATTGTAATGATCATAAACTTTCGACACTAGTTAAAACAATTTTTCGGTATTTTAATATATTTAATTATTATTCTTAAAAGAGTGTTTATATTTTTCTCGATTTTCTAGAATTTTCTACGATTTAAAAACCTGATTTTATAATTATTTAAATGATTTTGATATTTATGAATTAACTTAGTGGAGTAAAAGTTTCTAGAGTTAATCCGTTGTGTTATTGATAATATTACGTATCATTTTGAATAATATGTTGTATTATTTTTACTATTATGTATCATTTTGAATAACACGTTGTATTATTTTTACTATTACGTATTATTTCGTATAATATGTTGTAATATTATTATGTATTATTTTGTATAATTTACTATATTATTTCTACTATTGCCTATTATCAGTTGTATTAGTATAATTGGTAGGTTTTATTATATAGATAATTTTCCCATAATTATTTGATTTTAAATATAGAAAAAATATGTCCAGGCCCCAAAAGTAGAAAGTTTATGTGACCCGCCCCCTTGTATTCTGACCCATGTGTATAAGCCCTAAATACACACTGTATTTGTGTTAAGACCCTAAAGTATCGGACCCTGAGAAAAGCCCAACAAAAGTTACAAATTTACCATTTGATTTGATTGAGCTTGGTAACTGCGCCCATCCCTTTAACCCCATCCCATCTCTCTCTCTCTCTCTCTACTTAAAATGATCAGACTCTGGGAGGTCGTGGAAGGCGAAGGCGAGGATGGTGGTCATGGAGTCGAAGGTCGGGGAGTCATCTTGGAAACAGCTCGTGAACACGGGTTCAACGACAAACACGGAACATGGTCCGGTAGGACCCGCGAGCTGACGGAGCCCAGAGCTTTGGTCTGATGCATCGTTGTTCTCCCCTTTCTAAGTTACGGAATATCTTTACCCAAATCAATGTCTTAATCAAGATAGTGCTCTTATTTTCTTGTAATTTATGAAGGGAATCGATATTGGGTTTTTGTAGTTTTTCTCTTTCATTTAATTGAAATGGGATCTCATTGGATTCTTGAACAGCGGTTTGGGTTTTCCTTTAATGCCTTTTTCTTGTGTGATTTGGTGATTGACAGAGTTCTGTATAAGAGATTAACAGCAAAAATTTTTAAAAGCTCACATTGAATCTTCAGGCATATCGACATTTAGCTAAAAATTGAAGACAATGTGATTAAAAGTCGACTAAAGAATCTAAGAACCTGTGAATTTGAAAGGGGGGACAAGAAAAATTAGAACTATGAATGTTAGTTCAAAGGGCTGTCATGTTAGTTCTAAGGGCTGGAATGTTAGTTATAATGGCTGAACTGTTAGTTCTAAAGGCTGGACTGTTAGTTCTAAGGACTGAACTGTTAGTTCTACCAGCTTTCATGTTAGTTCTGTCATCTCTTACGTTAGTTCTACCCGCTTTCATGGTAGTTCTGTTATCTCCTACGTTAGTTCTGTTCGCTGCCATGTTAGTTCTGTCCGTTCTACCTTCTTTATGAGAACATTATAAATAACAATATCAGGATGAACACCATTTTTAAGCATCATTCTATAAAGTTTAAACCCAGCAATTAGATTGCCATGCTTGCACAAGCAATCGACCAAACTGTAGTATGCTACGGCATCTGGCATAAATCCCCTCTTTAGTATTTGAAAGAAAATTATTGCTGCTTCCTTCAACATTCCTTGCATAGCCATCCCCTTGAGAAGGATGGTGAAAGTAACTATATCAGGTATGAGCTTCTATACTCCCAATTGTCTATAGATTTTATGTTGGTGAAAGTAACTACATGAATTAGAACTAGAACGAACATGAAGTGAGTTACAATCAACATAAAATGAGTTAGAACTAACAAAGATCACAAGAGTCTAAAACTAACATGAATTAGAACTAGAAATAACATGCAGTGGGTTAGAACTAACATGAATTAGAACTAGAACTAACATGTAGTAGGTTAGACAAAGAATGAGTTAGAACTAACATGAATTAGAACTAGAACTAACATGAATAGAACTAGAACTAACATGTAGTGGGTTAGACAAAGAACGAGTTAGAACTAACATGAATTAGAACTAGAACTAACATGAAGTGAGTCAGAACTAACAAAGAGCAAGTTAGAACTAACTTTAAGTGAGTTAGAACTAACAAAGAGAAAGTTAGAACTAACAAAGAGCAAATTAGAACTAACTTTAAGTGAGTTAGAACTAACAAAGAGCAAGTTAGAACTAACTTTAAGTGAGTTAGAACTAACAAAGAGCAAGTTGGAACCAACATAAAATTAGTTAGAACTAACAAAGAGCCCAAGAGCCCCAAGGCCCAATCAAAGACTTTTAAATATATATTGTAGGTGTAGGGGTTTGAACTCTTGATCTCCTCTCCAAATTACCAAGCTTTACCACTAGACCAAGTAGCCAAAGTATTAATGTTAGTTCCATTTAAAGTTAGCTCTTACTTGCCATTAGAACTACCATGAAATAAGTTAGAACTAACTTGAAATAAGTTAGAACTAACATGAGTTAGCTCACGATAGAATTTAAAAAATGGCATAAAACTAGAGTTAGCTCATGTTTGTTCTATCGCAACTCATGTTAGTTCTAATTTTTACCAGCTCATGTTAGTTCTAGTTTTTACCAGCTCGCGTTAGTTCTAATTTATTTAATGCATTAGTTCTAGCGTAAATGTTGGGTCTAAACGTCATGTTAGATTCAATTTATGTCATATTAGTTCTAGCTTCTCCAGTGTTAGTTCTAACAGATATCGTGTTAGTTCTAATTTATTTAAGTCGTTAGTTCTAGCGTAACTGTTGGTTCTAAACGCCATGTTAGTTCTACTTGATGATGTGTTAGTTCTAGCTTCTCCAGTGTCAGTTCTAACAGGTATCATGTTAGTTCTAATTTATTTAATGTGATATTCCTAGCGTAAGTGTTGGGTCTAAACGTCATGTTAGTTCTAATTTATGCTATATTAGTTCTACCTTCTCCAGTGTTAGTTCTAACTGGTATCGTGTTAACTCTAATTTATGTAATGTGTTATTTCTAGCGTACTTGTTGGTCTAAACACCATGTTAGTTCTACTTGATGATGTGTTAGTTCTAGCTTCTCTAGTGTTAGTACTATTTGGTATCGTGTTAGTTCTAATTTATTTAATGCGTTAGTTCTAGCGTAAGTGTTGGGTCTAAACGCGATGTTAGTTCTAATTTATACCGTGTTAGTTCTACCTTCTCTAGTGTTAGTTCTAACAGATATCATGTTAGTTGTAATTATTTAAGTCGTTAGTTCTATATAATTGTTGGGTCTAAACGCCATGTTAGTTCTACTTAATGATGTGTTAGTTCTAGCTTCTCCAGTGTTACATGGTATAAACATATTAGTTCTACTTAAAGTTAGCTCTAACATGAATTAGAACTAAGTTAGAACTAACATAAAATAAGTTAGAACTAATATAAAATAAGGTTTACCACTAGACCAAATAGCCTAAAGTATTTATATTAGTTCTACTTAATACTAGCTCTAACATGAAATAGAACTAAGTTAGAACTAACATAAAATAAGTTAGAACTAACATTAAATAACTTAGAACTAACATTAAATAACTTAGAACTAACATGAGTTATTGCTCATGATAGAGTTCAAAAAAGGGCGGGAAATTTCCCTCTATTTTTTTCCATCAGATCGTATTAATGGGCGTGACTTTCCATGTATTTTGTGGACCAGACGTCTGGGGAAGATAAGTGGAGGGGTAATTTCGAATTTTTTCAAAATACAATCTCTTTTTTTATACTGCTGACGTGGAGGGGCCTTGAAATATTAATTGGTACTTTTTGGGGCTGAATCACATGGGCCAAAATACAATGGGGCGGGTTACATGAACTTTCTCATTTTGGGGCCTGGACACATTTTTCCCTTAAATATAAGTAACTATATTTTTTATTAATTATTCTCGTTTAATTGTATAATTAGTTGTATTATTTTTACTATTGCGTATTATCTGTTG